TTTCTCACCTAAAATTTACACGCTGCGTTTACATTTGGAACTTTCTAGTAAATGCACTGAGTTTGAGTTATCGCCCGTGTTGATACACGGTTAGATAAAATGACAGTTCTCTCTTTATTGGCAAATTAATTGATGAAAATAATTAAAAAGGGACATACCGCCTCAGTGCTTGTCAAATCATCGGACGATATTGCATATAATGAGGGCAATTTACACGCACAGGTAATTAACATGTAGTTATATAGTAGACTAGTGTAAACAGGTTTCTTTTAAAAATGACCAGTGCTTACCGACGCCTATTCACTGAGTTAAAAAAAGACACGAGTTCTCAGAAAAAAATTCTTCACATGTTGATTTATTTTTAAGAAAAATATTTTTGCGAATGCAATGCACGCGCAAATTTGCTAAAAATTTATCTACAGTAAAAATTTCCAGATTTACGGTACTTCCGGTTATGAGAGAAAAACAATATAAATTTAGTTATGTACTATACCATTAATATTTTTTATAAAAAGAGCAGTTGAAATGATTTTAAGGCATGTTATTCAGACTGAAATGTCTAGAGTAACCTAAAAAATCTCTTCAAAAATTTACCACCGGTCACGTGATTTCTTGTCCTCAAAGTGAGAAGTGAGAAGATAACATTACGAGATCTCTTAAACTGTAACAGATCAAAACACTAAACTTATATGAATAATACACCAAGAAGATTGGGCAACAGATATAGGATAAAGTGCGTTCTCCGTCACAAAAATTGAAAATGATTTTTGTAAATGTTATTAGGACTTTAATTGTCTAAAGTAACGTCGAGAATCGAATCTTGGTAAGTTACACCTACGGCCGTTTGTTTTCCTGAATCATTTAAAATATTATATGCCTTTTTAAAATTGATAAAAGTTCATTCATGCAGATAAAGAGAGGAGAACGGAAGACCTTCTTTGTTGCTTTAGCAACAAGAGATTCTAGTTATTTTTCTTCTTCCTGGGAAAATTTTGTCCACGAGTGATCTTGTAAACTACACATCCGACTAAGGTAAAATGTTTTTAGGGTCAGTAGACATGTTATGTAGATTTGCCGAACGAAGGTCATTTTGCGCGCACGTGCTTGCAAGAGCGCGCACGTGCAACACATGAAATGACCAATATAATGGATATTGCTGTAACTTTTCTTTTTTTTGATGAATTTTTTTGAAACTCATACTGTAAGGATATATTAGTAGTATAAACAAGATGGCATGGTGAAAATAGCAAGATCTCACGTGCATGCACGTGCGCTTCGCTCTGATTGGCTGAAACTAAAGTCTCAATATCTTTCTTGTTTCTTGTCATAATCTTTTGAAATTTTGAACATAGTCCTACATTATGAAGATATACAGCATGATATATAAAAATTTTCATGAAAGCATGCGCATGCGCGCGTGCTGCAATCTGATTGGCTGAAAATTTAAATGGCTATATCTCCTTTGTTTTTTGACGAAATGCTTTGAATTTTAAAACATAGTCATGCATTAGGATATCCTAAAATATGATATAGAAAAAAATTCATGAAATCACGCGCATGCACGTGTGCTGCAATCTGATTGGCTGAAACTTTAAATGGCTATATCTCCTTTGTTTTTTTACGAAATGTTTGGAATTTTAAAATATAGTCATTCATTTAGATATCCTTCAATACAACAAAGATAAAAATTTATGAAATCACGCGCATACATGTGTGCTGCAATCTGATTGGCTGAAACTTCAAACGGCTATAACTCCTTTGTTTTCCAACCAAACAGGATGGGATTTAGAACAAAGATAAATATAAAGAACTCCTACAAGAAGGTGTAGTCATTATGCACGTGCGTGCACGTGAAATGAGTAAAATTAAAAATACCCTCGAATGAGTGTATTTTTTAATACGTTTGGATTAAATGCTTTGATATTAAGTATATTAAAATTTTAGATAGTGTAGACAAGATAATATGGTCGTTACGAACATGAACACGAAATGCCTATTTTTAAATATATTTTGTATTTTTCTGGGAAGACCTTGATTAAGTCCAAATTCCATAAAGTATTTCTTATTTAATAGAGATTACAGGGAATATGGCACCAAAAGGGAGTTGGGGAGCGTTTGGGGAACATCTGTAACGGTCCCCGTTACAATTAGCACTAGTTTCTTTATAAATTCTTCAGTCATTTATGAAATCAGAGTGTATGCTACAAGGTTTTTTTCTTCTCTTAGAACTGTCTTAAATTAATTTTAGCCTTTTTCAATTCATTAGCAAATTGACCATTCATGAGAAAAAGTCCATCATATTAGGAAAGAGAGGGCGGATTATTAACGTGAAATGTGAGAAATGTAGGGGATTTGTATTTGCTGTTGGCCGAATGTCCAAAAATAAATTCCCTTGAAATCTTTGATTGCGCACCATTTCATCTCCCCAGTGGACTTGTTTAATCAAATGCGCTTATTTGGTATTTCATCCATCGCAAATAAGAACAGAAGTGTCGTTTATAAGAGACTGTGAAAGTGTTTGGACTGTTATTTTAATTTTGGAATGGACAGGATGACGTTTTTGGCGGTCTTTGTGTTTGCCGTAATGTCTGCCAGTGTTGCGTCTGGTCACCCAGTTAGTGAATCTCAAGAAAAGCATCAAGGGTTGCAAAAGGTAACATTTGCTATAATATTGTTTATTATCCAAAAAAAAAAGTATGTTAGAAACTTACCTCGTCTGAAAGAAAATATTCGAGCGATTTGGTAAAATTTTATCATGTTAAGCTTCCTATTAAATTTGTGTCTTTTTATTTTTCATTAGACAAAAAAGCCATATTCCGCATTTATAATAGTACAGGTATTTTGAATTGTAATACATCTAGTAATTTTCTAAGAATTAAAGATTGGAAAAAAAATGCAATATTAAGTTTTCTTTCGATTTTGGATTCTTGGACACATGTGACAGAGTTATTTCTCTTTTAACAAACTCGTGCAATTTATGATACCTCCTCTGCAAATCGAAAAAAACTAATTTTATTCATAAAATATGGAGATACATGTAACAAAGAATACTCAAGCTAAAAACGTCCATTGACACTTAGGAACAGAGCAAACAATGACCTTTTGAAAACATCAGACGTGGGATCAGGTGCCATTAGAATCTAATTTACCCCAAGATACCTCCACCTAAATTTTAGCTTTTCTGGTCCAGTTGTTCCTGAGAAGAATATTTTAAAAGATTTTTTCCTATATATTTCAATGTAAAACTTGGATTTCTATTGAAAAGCTCACCTGAGCTGAGAACTGAAAGCTCAGGTGAGCAGCAGCTGAAAACTGATAATTCGCGCTTCCACCAGCATTCTCGGGATGATTTTCGGTACTTGTGAACCGAATAAAGTGTCAAACTTGAAACATTTTAAAGTCCAATACTTTTAGTACTCATGAATATCGTTTTATATGGTTTGTCTGTACTAGTATTGATAACTTGTGAGTTCGTAATTTAATTCAGTTTGCAAGTCCAAAGACACGTGTTTCGGTAATAAATGTCTTAACCCAAAGTAATAATACTTAAAATGTATGCTTTGGGTTAAAAAAAATATTAACAAAATAAGTTCCTGTGTCACAAACATCGAAGATCAACTCTGGTTGGAGGCGCCGATTTTCCAGTTTTCGTAATGACGCTGGTTCCGACGTTTTCCTGGTACGTTAAACAATCAAAAAAAGGCTAAAAAAAAAAAAATCGGAAATTTCGGACTAAACCCCATATGCGGGTGACAAGGGTGTGTTTAATTGCAAAATAAGTAAAGAAACCCATCACATGTATCATAAAGTTTTGTTAAGTTACCATTAGCGTCCTTTTCTATCGCAAAATACCCGAATATGAAACCGATGTGACAGACTCTGTGGTATCTCATATCAAGTTCACTAGAAAATATGAAGTTGACATCTAAATGTAACTATTGTTAATAGGCAATAATAATAAGTCAAATTTTTTTTCTAAATATAGATGTGAACGCCACAGCTAGTAATAAAAATGTACATCTGCTGATGACGGGCCACAATTGGTACCCATTTGAATTCCGATATATTGTTAGATACCTCTCACTACTAAGCTGCTTTAGTCACGGTTCCACGATTATTTACTTGTCTTGTAGAGGTCCAGACACGTCAGTAACCAGTGGCAGGAGATAGCCAACAATATGTTGACGAGGTTGATGGTGGTTGTAGAGGAGACATTACAGGAGCTGGGGGCCAGTGAAGCGGAACTGAGGGAAGTCCAGAAGAAAAGATCTCACATCACTGCGTGCTACTTCCAAGCAGTCACGTGTTATTAAAGATTTACTATTTGTATTGAATCTTATGTATAAGCAATTGTTCATGAATGATAAACTTGTAATGAAATATTTTCTTGATTTTGTCATTTTAATCTCACCCGAGACAAAGGTGTGAGTGATTTTTTTCACAAAACACAACACAGCACATCGTAAAAATATCAATTTGTCGTGTATGCCCTCTTTTATAATAAGGGACGATAAAGAATGGTCTTACAAGGATATAGAACTTTGCTAATCTAAATTATTGTTGGTCCACTCAAGGGTAAAATGAATTTCTTCACTGTCAATTTTTACTTTGTACATAAGCCTGTAAAATTACATAAGTCATAGGCCATTGTCTATACTGAGATATTCTAGTAGGCTTAAGTGAAAAATACATTACGGTAAGCCTAACAAAAGTTATCTGTATGATACTTTGAGACTTTTTTTAAACAAAAAGTTCTGCATATTAAGGATTTTGTTGTAAAAATTAAACTAAAACTTGGAAAACATAGATTTTTTTCCCATATATTCTTGTTAAAAATGTTTTAAACAGTTTAAAAGTTATCAGTCCAAGTGTGTTTAGAAATAAGCTGCCATCTAGCACAAAAGAAACTCGAAAATGTCCTTGGGTCTTCTAAGTCAACTCCTCAGTCGCTTCCGTATTGGTCACCGAAAACTCCCGAGAATTCATATCTGAAAAAATGACGTCATCATTTATGACGTAGAGGAAAAAGTAATGTTTACGATGTGAGATATGAGGCGTACATATTTGTTCATTTTAACCATTTTCCTTTGTGTTTGTTGGATCTTGGCATATGATAACGATTAGTAAGTGATACGTTCTGTGATTTTGCTGAAACGGTTTGACATCTAACAATGCAAACAGTCGTAACAGTGTTACTAGCCTAATATTGGTTTTTTACGATGTTAATATCATCCTAAGGCTGAGGCTAAGGTGTCTGTCGTCCATCTTTCCGTATCTCTAGCCTACCAGAAACAAATATTCAAAAAGAAACTTAACTCAACAGTGTTTCTTGGTACAGGTTTGGCACAAGTTTCATATATCGATACGACATTTAAAAAAAAACTTTCAAGACAACAAACATTGTTTGATAAAAAAAAATTAAAAAAATAAACAATGTAACAGTAACCTGTGAAGTTATAAAAATACAGTACAAGCGCAATTTCAGAGCCTGAGGTGTAATCGAATGCGTAAGTGGAATAAGCAACCCTGTTGACAGGCCACACTCACTGTGTGCCCGAAGTGTTGTTCAGGAAGATTGAAATTTGAAGTCGGAACATGCCATAGACAACTTGAATAAAATGAAACATATGAAGATAACGAACAATATTCAAGATCAAAAATCCATAAACAATACCGAATAGGAGCAGAGCAAACACGGACCTCCAAAACATCAGAGGAGGGATCAGCTGCCATGGAAAATTGAGCGTCCCCTGTCGACCGGTCACACCCGCCGTGTGCTCCTTGTCATGATCAAGAAATGATGGTAAAATCCGTCGTCTATTCAGTGTATAAATACTAGTCATGGACTATAAAATGTTAGTAAGTTTTTGACTCAATGATACATTGTATTTGCTGACAAGGTCATTGTATCGACTATAAAACTTACAAAATTATTATTTTAAATGAGACAGCTGATATTCTTGTTTCATCAACTTCTTTGTCAATAACTTACCTCGTTTTAGATATTGTTCATACGTAGAACATGCTCTTGCGTATCGAATCAACTGAGATATATATACTCCGTATGCAGGTGATGAAGGTATATTGCTGCATAAGTTAGGGAAGTTGACGATAGAAAAGTTAACGTCATCACGTTTATCATATAGCTTGGTTGTTAGATTACTATTAACGTCTTTTTCAATTAAAATATCCAAGTATGGAAAATGACTCTGTGGTATCTTTTATCTCAATCTCACCGGGATTTATCGTAGCGATATACTGTAAGTTTGGAAGTAACCACTGTTAAACGACAATACGTCGTCGATATATTTTATATTTAACTATCGAGTTGAAGGCCATAGCAAGTGTATTCTTCTTTTCGACAATACGTCGTCGATATATTTTATATTTAACTATCGAGTTGAAGGCCATAGCAAGTGTATTCTTCTTTTCGCGTACGAGATAAATTCTGTTTCATATAAATAGAAAAATAGGTCTGCTAATATTAAATGGGGCGCATTTGGTACCAATGGGAAATCCAACAGATTGTTGAAAGACCTGATCTCCAAAAACCACATAGATATTGTCAATCAGAAACTCATGATTTAAAAAAAACTGCAAAACGTCAGATATTTCGGACAATAATGCATACTTCTGTGCAGCATCTCATATATCAAATATTTTTCAAGCTTTTTCAAGTTTTTTTTATCATGATTTTGATATTGGACATTTTTTCTTGCATATCTAATATCAAACATTGAACTGTAGACACGTGTTTTCTTGATTTTGAGAACCAGCAAAAATGTCATGTAAATTTTGTATTTACTGCCACCCGGTTAATTCAAAATTTACAACATGACATTTCCTCCATTTTAATATTTAAAAAAAATATAATGGTCTTAATTTTCATTATCTTGTTGCAGCAATGACTACGATACTGGTCTCTTAGATGAAATAAGATCAGAGGAGAAGAGAAACTTCAACGAACAAAAACATGGTGGGTCTCAATTTGAAAAAAGTAGCATTTTGTTTAAATCGTGTAAAATCAACTGACTTCTGTTATAAACTTGATTCACGCTTTGCACTTTTATCATTTTCAGGAGAGGTCGATGAGCCTTTCAAAAATTTGTTGTCCGAGCTCGAAGACGACATCGGAGAGTTGTCCGACTTAAACAAAAGAAACAACGGCGGTTCTTCCGGAAAATCGCCGCCTCAGCAGAAACCAGTCACCACCACAAAGGCGACTCAGACCAATAGCACAGCCACCTTAAAACCCACCTCACCGAGTACTGTAACGTCAACCGCTACTGCAGGTAGTGTAACGACAACCAAGGCGCCGGTGAAAGCAAATCCCCAAACCACGGAAAAGAAACCAAATAATGATAGTCGCGAAAGCAACGCCAAAACAAAGAAACCCCCAAAAGGCAACGCTGTTCATAACAACCGCAAAAAATCAAATCCACAAGGGGGCTCAAAGAGTAAGGAAAGTAAAGGAAAGGGCAAGAAAAACCTTCGTGGGAGAAAGAAAATGAAGAATAGATATAGAACAGATAAAAATAAAATGCTTGCTCAGGCATCATGTGGCAAGGCTAAAAAATACCCAACCTGCATCCAAATATATCGAAAATGTATGCATGAAAAAAAGAAACAGAGAATTCGTTGTAAGCAGAGAAAGGGGAATAATAGTCGAGGTCGTTTGGGGAAGTATTCAAATCTAAAGGGGAGAAAACTGCTTTTAGCGAGACATGGTCTACAACAGAATAGAAAAGGGGAGCAGCAGCCAACAAACAAAAAGAACAGCATACATGACAAGAAACAGTGGAAGAATAAAGGTAACGATGGGAAAAAAGAAAGTGAAAGAAAAAGTCCACATAGTAACTTGCCCAAGAATTCGCCAAGAAAGCAGGAAGGAGCCGGAAATGGAAAAGGAAACAATCAGAGTCATAAAGGAAAAAGTAGTCCATCTGGGAGTACAACAAAACCGTTAGCGAAGGACCGGAGAGGAAAAATAAACAACGATAGTAACAATGTATTAAAGGAAAAGAAAACACTGGAAAATCAAAAGAAAATGGTAAATGGAGAGATCAAGGGACTGCTGAAATATCTCAGAAGGGTCAAAGGTCATTTGTATCATATCGACAAAAATGACGGCAAACGAAAAGAAAGAGAGGCAAAAGAAAAGTCAGATTCAAACCGATAGGTGTTTGTTTTTGTGGGGTTTTTTTTACTGATTTTAATAAAGTAATTTTTATTGATTTGCTTAAATTTTATTTGACATTCCTAATTTTACCGATGTAGAAAATTGAATGTAGCATTCTGATTTTGTTTCCCTTTGTTTGACTGTTGGTGCTTTGTTTTATTAATCTGCAAGGTACCTATCCTAAAGACCTCGTGAGTGGTTTTCAAAAAGAAAAGTACAGGAAAAGGTGACACGTACATGCATTGCACTTAAAAAGCAATGTCATTATCTGAGAAAGACAGCAGCAGTTTTTGATGAAAGGTTTTTGGAATAAATATATATCGAGACAAAATTGCAGGAAATCATGCAGAAGCTTCTTCTTGACACGCTACGCAGTAATATTGTGGAACAGTTTCCAAGGGATGGTGGAGCTTTGGTATTGAAGGGGAATAACTTAAGGGTTATGATACAAAGTTAGTTTGATTTACGACTACTGCCTCTCCGTTTAAGGAAGTTGTTTCCCCTTGTATCCGTTAATCGTTCTGCTTTAGTTCTAGTATTACACTAAAAGTATATCTTTCATTCACTTCAAAATTTGACAGTTCGTATGTTCCATGTTTGACTCTGTTAGGGAGGGGTCTTGATGATACATTTAATGTTTATGTATTAGTTAAACCCCGAAACCCTCTATGAATGTTGATTTTAATAGGGGACAGTTTCTTCTATGTGGTATATAACTGAATAAAGATGTACGTGTAAACTAGGTGTACCAAATGAGATGTAAGCATTAGTTTCCAAAGTAAGTTTTATAGTACATATCGCATTGTAATCTCACAGTTTTCTTTCATACTGCGTTCATCAAAACTCTAAAGACTAAATTCCCTCTCTCTCATACACATTATGAATAACTTTGAAATTCAACCAGTGATGAACAGAAAATGTTATAATCTATATTATACAGCGTAATATATACGTAGTGTTGATTTAATTTGGTTTTTAGAAGCTTAATAAAACTTTCTTGTGAAAGGTTCTCATTTAAAAAGTAGTAGCGAGGTTGCATTTGTAATGAAATGTCATTTTGATTTGATTTATTTATTACAGATAAATTATATCAACAGACTGAATTACCGAATTTGATTAATATGTGTATTTAAAATTCCATAAATTATCAACTTGCTTCACAGGCACTTATTTCGGAAATTAAAAAAACTTTAAACCATAGTATAATAATCAGGTATCTAACTCAGAATTACACGAAATACCCCCCTCCTCAGAAACGCACTCATTTACACTTTCAGATGAAATGCACTGGCAAACTGTTTATTACCATTGTCTTCTACGATGATTTATCAACACAACCATATATGGCATGCATGTCTTTGTTTTCATTTATCGCCGTAAAGAGCGTCAAAGCTATACTCGCCGAGTGGAAAAGTCGACTCAGTGGAAAAGTGATCTCGCACAGAGATTTCAATTGGCTAAAAATCTGTTTCTGAAATTACGTCGGATAAACATCGTAATGTTTTCATGGAAAATCGGACGTAAACAAGTTTTATTTACTCACTGCAATACTTCAACATTGGAAATGAATTTTTAAACCCACTCATTTTTTTTTCTTTGCCCGAGATTAGCACATACCGTTTTATGGTTGAGTTCGACTTTCCACTCGGCGAGCAGAATTGTGACGCTGTTTACGAAGATTAAAGAAAATTAAGACAGGCATGCCATATATGGCTGTGTCGATAAATTATATAGCAGAAGACATAGGTATGAACAGTTGTTCAGTGCATTTTCTCTGAAAGTTTAAATGAATGCGGTTGTGCGGTAGGGGGTATTCCGTGTAATTCTGAGTTAGATATCTTGTATTATTTTTATACCCTGGATTAAAAATTTATTTCCGAAACACGTGCCTGTGATTTGCTTATATAAATTAAATTACTGATTAAAGCCCACATCCTCCTAGCGAAAAAAAGGAACGTTTAAAAAATCTAGTGTGGTCAAGTGTTGAAAAAGTCAGCTGCAATGTAAGGCAAGCGTAGAGTGTATGTAAAATGTAAAAAATAATAATAACTAGAAAGTTTGCTATTGCAAGCAATAGCGTATGTCGCCCCGAACTGGACAAGACTTTCATTTTTTCATCAATACAACAATACCCTTTAGCTAAGCTTGGACAACCATCAACTCGTCTCAGTACTTTCAGTACTTTGATTTTTAAATCATTACATAAATAAAATTTCATGAAGAATGTTCAAGGGACCAGAGAGAACACTCGCGGACAAAATTCGTCGCTTTTTGCAGGTTTCCATGGCAACGGTAGCCATTTTGAAACTGAATGACCACACAACACAACTACAACCAGTGATCCTCCTTTGAGGAAAGTTTCAGGAAGATTGTCCCAGCCATCTCCGAGAAACAGCCTGGAGAACAAAAACATGCGAACAATCGCAATATGTCGCAATAAAAGCAGAGTTTGTATATTGCTATCGCAAAAGTTCAAAGGCTTCTTGAAATATCGCTTGGAAACGAAAGTGTTGCATACAGACAGATGTATAGCCGATTGAAGAGACGGACAGAACGGCGATGATGGGACAGAGGGACAGAGGAATTTAAGTAATGGTATAAAAATTTAATAGCAAAAACTCAAAAAGCTTCTTGATATATCGCGAGGAAATGAAACTTTCGCACACACATCAAATTAAAAAATTTATGACCTTTGACCTTAACTTCTCAAATTCTCGACCTTATTACCCCAATGTCACTTTCTCACTCCTCTCTCTCTCTCACACTCCTCTCTCTCCTACTCCTCTCTCTCCTCTCTCCTACTCCTCTCTCTCCTCTCTCCTACTCCTCTCTCTCCTCTCTCACACTCCTCTCTCTCTCCTACTCCCCTCTCTCTCCCTCACACTCCTCTCTCTCTCCTCTCTCTCTCACATTCCTCTCTCTCTCACACTCCTCTCTCTCTCACACTCCTCTCTCTCTCTCTCCCCCACACTCCTCTCTCACATTCTCCTCTCTCACACTCCCCTCTCTCTTTCCTCTCACTCATCTCGCTCTCTCTCTCCCTTCTCTCTCTCTCGAGAGTTAGAGAATAAGGGATAGAGAGACGTATCATCTTCCCCCTCCAAGGAGAAGTAACTCCCCACTCCAACCATGAGTAGAGAGTAAGTGATTCATAGGAATGTAGGGCAGGTAAAATGAAAGAGATATATTTCCCATTCATTTTTTCCCTATCCTATGTCTCCCTCTCCCAACATATTGTTTTCTCACATCACTCTCTCCCTCTTTCTTACCCTCTCTTTCTTTTTTTGTTTGTTTGTGTTTTTCTGCTGCACTACATATTAATACGTATTTGTCGTAGAAAACTTTATATACAAAATCTTTATTCAAAAGTAATAGTGTTTTAACTCTGGCATTACTATTATCGCCAAAATTTACGGTACTTGTTAGTTAGATTCAAACTAAATCACAACCAAAAATTTCTAATTATGATTTTGAACATTCTTGAAAAATTAATTTTCCAAAGAAACATATCTATTTATTTATACTCACGAAATAAACCATAAAAATTTGCAACGCATACAAAACGTTTACGCTAAGAATAGGGCAACTGAACCACTAAAAGTGACATGGGCGCTTCCCATTCCTATGCAACTTGTACTGGTAATTAAAAAGACTTTGTACATGATATAAACCTACGTGATTATTCGCGTATAGGTTATAAATTCTATCTTACTGTAATTTAATAATATGATATGACAGTGAATATAAAACTAAATTAGAAGTCCAAGTTAAAAGACTTGTATCGATAGTGAACATGTTACTAAAGTAAATGATTTAATTTAATTCCTTTTATCGTTGGCAAGCATGTTTCTGGTCATAAAGGAATTAATTTATATATTATATGTACTAGTATTTGGTTTTCTATACTGACGATTTGAAGTTCACTCACTCGCCTCTGGAGTATAACACTAAATGGACCTTTCTGAATGGGGTGTTAATTGGTTGGTTATTGGACCAATCAATTATAGAGGTGTTTTTTTTTTAATTCCAACTCATTCTGTTAAGGACACACGCAAGGTACCTTACCTACTGATAATTTTTCAAGATATTCTTAATTTAAGATTATAGTGCCATCAGATGTTAATAGACAAAAAATCAGCATGCATAACCAGCGGTTTTTGGAAGATATCAAATAACCACGAAACATAAATTCCAGATTATTCCCCATCAAAATTTGGTTTAGAAGAGGTGTACAAATCCATATATAGACATTAATTGCACACGGGTCTTTCATTTAGTGGAACTCTTCAACTACAAGGAAGGTTCCAATAAAGTTCAAACTACGTTGCGTATGACCTTAAGTACTGAAGTTATGGAGAAGACAGGGGTCAACATATTTTTTTTTCCATTTTTAAATGTTTTACATTATTTTGCTATTTGTTAAGAATTCGATCTCTACTCAGGCGAAATTATTCAGAATGAAACATTTTTTCTCTTTCAATATTAATATGTAATCAGCCTTTTCTGAGACGAAACCACATAAAACAAGGTCTAATAATGTGGTTGACCACATTACCAAATTTTCAAAAAATCATTTTTCCCCCTGCAGACTATTAATTATCAAGATCGTGAATTAATTAGTATAACCAGCTCAAATTATCACATAAAATGATGTGAGTACGATTTTTATAGACGTGCACCTTATAAATTACCCGTTTTTGCTCTTATTCTGTCCATAATTGAAAACAAGTCATGTTAATGTGTTTGAATTAAGAAGTTATACAATAAGCAGACAAGGAATAAAAAAATTGTTAAAATAGATCTGTGTAATCTGTGAAACATAAAAGGTAGATTGTTCTTCCGCTCACTTTTTGTTCTTCCGCTCACTTTTGAGTCAATTTTTCAAAGTAATATCACGCAAACTCTTTCATATAAACGAACACTATCTAAGTCGTATACAGTTCATTAGACTAAGTAGTACAAATGTTTTGATTCTTTATATCATATGTAATGAAGTTTTTGCTATTAGCTT